CAGGTGCTTGGGCCCTGCACCCCATGGGAGACCAGGAAAAGCACCTGGCTCCTGGCTCCTGCCAGGATCAGCGCGGTGCGCCGGCTGCAGCGGCGGCCATTGGAGGGTGAACCAGCGGCAAAAGGAAGACCTTTCTCTCTCTGTCTCTCTCTCTCACTGTCCACTCTGCCTGTAAAAAAAAAAAAAAAAAAAAAAAAAAAAAAAAAAGATCTCTCTCTCTCTCTCTGCCTCTCCTCTCTCTGTGTAACTCTGACTTTCAAATAAATAAATAAATCTTTTAAAAAATACAGTACAAGGCTGAATATTTTCATATCATGTTCCATCTTTTAGACATAAGTTCTAATTTGTGTGGCTTTTATATTTTTTTTTAACTTTTATTTAATGAATATAAATTTCCAAAGTACAGCTTATGGATTACAATGGCTCCCCGCCCCCCGTTACTTCCCTCCCACCCGCAACCCTCCCATTTCCTGCTCCCTTTCCCCTTCCATTCACATCAAGATTCATTTTCAATTCTCTTTATATACAGAAGATCAGTTTAGCATATATTAAGTAAAGATTTCAACAGTTTGCACCCCCATGGAAACACAAAGTGAAATATACTGTTTGAGTACTAGTTATAGCATTAAATCACAATGTACAGCACATTAAGGACAGAGATACTACATGAGGAGTAAGTGCACAGTGACTCCTGTTGTTGACTTAACAAATTGACGCTCTTGTTTATGGCATCAGTAATCACCCTAGGCTCTTGTCATGAGTTTCCAAGGCTATGGAAGCCTTTTGAGTTCACTGACTCTGATCATATTTAGAAAAGGTCATAGTCAAAGTGGAAGTTCTCTCCTCCCTTCAGAGAAAGGTACCTCCTTCTTTGACGACCTGTTCTTTTGTGTAGCTTTTATATTTAAGAAGCTTCATTTTGATGCGTATCCAATGTGATACAAGTATGTTTAGTTGGTTGGTCAAATGGCCTTTTTTTTTTTTCAGAAAAGATTTTAAAGCAGCTTTAAGGGCACAAGAAATATAAACAAATAACAATATACCTTATATTTTATGATATCCTAAAATTTTCCAGAGACTGTTCATGCCAATTTCTGGATATTTAAGAAGATATTTGTATTTCTAGTTAAAAGGTTCAAGGATAAGTAGTCAGTTTTACTACTGGAACTACATACAACATGCCAGATAATGTAAGTGGTTCTAGCTGTCTCCTTTCCTTAATAACAGAATTTCTAGGAAGATCATCTCCATTAATTGCTATTATGAACAGTTTCCTTTGAAGGACAAAATACTATTCTGCAAAGATGTTCACACTAGGATGCTGTGAACGTAAACTCTCATTGCTAAAGGGGCTTTGAAGATGGTTAATGACCTTTAAATAGGCAAAAGAGCCTGTATTATCCAGGTGAGCCCAATGTAATGCCAAGGGTACTTAAAAGTAGAAAAGGAAGAGAGAGCCGGGCAAATGAGTGGTCAAAAGTGAAGGGTCTCCTGTTGAAGTGAAATGGACACTATGAGAAACGGTGACTTGATCAGCATAGCCCTGACTGTTAATGAACAACTTAATTCATTATCCCTCTTAGTAGTTTTTTTTTGTCTGTTCTACTTAATATGACTGGTTTAATTCTGTAATTAAACAGTTATTCTTAAGTGTTGAAATTTAACTGAAATGTGATCCCTGTTAAACATAAGAGTGGGAATAAGAGAGGGAAGAGATGTACAATTTGGGACATGCTCAAGCCAACTTGCCCCAAATGGTGGAGTTAGAAACATACCAGGGGACTCCAATTCAATCCCATCAAGGTGGCATGTACCAATGCCATCTCCCTAGTCCAAGCGATCAATTTCAGTTCACAATTGATCATAATGAAAGGACTAAGAGTCAAAGGGAGCACATAAACAAGTCTAGTACCTGCTAATACTAACCGATAGAATAAATAAAGGGGAGAGTGATCCAACATGGGAAGCGAGATACTCAGCAGACTCATAGAATGGCAGATGTCCTAAACAGCACTCTGGCCTCAGAATCAGTCCTAAAGGCATTCCGATCTGGCTGAAAAGCCCATGAGAGTATTTCAGGCATGGAAAGCCAAGACACTCTGGCAAAAAAAAAAAAAAAAAAAAAAAAAAAAAAAAAAAAAACCCTAAATGAAAGATCTCTGTGAGTGAGATCCCAGTGGAAAGAACAGGTCTTCAAAGAAGGAGGTACCTCTCTCTGAAGGGAGGAGAGAACCTCCACTTTGACTATGACCTTGTCTAAACAAGATAAGAGTCGGAGAACTCAAGGGGCTTCCATAGCCTTGGAAACTCATGACTGGAGCATAGGGAGATTACTGATGCCATAAACAGGAGTGTCAATTTGTAAAGTCAACAACAGGAGTCACTGTGCACTTACTCCTCATGTAGGATCTCTGTCCTTAATGTGCTGTACATTGAGACTTAATGCTATAACGAGTACACAAACAGTATATTTCACTTTGTGTTTCTATGTGGGTACAAACTGTTGAAATCTTTACTTAATGTATACTAAACTGATCTTCTGTTAAAAAAAAAAAAAGAAGAAATTATCAATTCCCAACTTGACTCTCACTGGGATTAAACATGACAATAGGTCTGATCTGATTTCATCATCATTTAAAAAATCATCTATTATTTTCACTTTATGTTTCTGTGTGGGAGCAAACTGTTGAAATCTTTACTTAATGTATGCTAAACTGATCTTCTGCATATAAAGAGAATCGAAAATGAATCTTGATGTGATTGGAAGGGGAGAGGGAGTGGGAAAGGGGAGGGTAGTGGGTGGGAGTGACGTTATGGGGGAGAAGCCATTGTAATCCATAAGCCGTACTTTGGAAATTTATATTCATTAAATAAAAGTTAAAAAAAAAAGTGAAGGGTCTCCAACCACCACTGGGGCTGCTGAATGAACTTGGGAAAGTGAAGTTACCAAGTTCCCCTTCTTCCCACTTCCCTGGGCCTCTATGGTAACTGGTCATGGTAACTGACAGGCCCACCTGCCTGGCTAGCTGCCCACAAGCCTATAATGTAGTGGTTTGGCCCTGGACCACCTGTGTCCATAAACTCACATAGGTGACTGGGGCATGGGTAAGCACAGCTGCCTGGGGATGGCTGTGGGTGTGTGGATTCATGTGGTGATAAGTAATTGTGGCTATTGGTGTATGCAGCTATGTGTGGCTGTGAGATGCTATCTCTGTGTGTGAGTGTCTGACTGCCTCCCCAGACACACAGGCAGGTATCTTCTGTGGCCCCACTGCCTTGAGGGGGGCAAGTGGTTGTTCCTGGTGCCTTTTTCACTGCCACTGTGAGTAAGGGAGATATAAATCCTCAAATGACTGAGTTGTTCTTGGACCCATTGGAACCTGGATCTGCTTGTCCTGGGCCCTAAGACCCCGGGCATACAGAGGCCCTTGAGGATGGAGGAAAGAGGCTGGGAGCCAAGGAGTGTGAGCAATCTCAAGAAGCTGGAAACAACCCTTACCGGCCATCAGCAAGGAAACAGGGACCTCAGTCCTACAATCACAAGGAACTGAATTCTGTCACTGGGCTGAACAGCCACACACTCAGATCTCCCCCAGAGCTTCCCGTAGACTGCCCTGCTCACATCTTGATTTTTAGCCCAGTGGAACCTGTGTCAGACTTCTGACCTACAGAATTGTGAGAAAATGCACTTGTGTTGCTGTTAGATGCTAACTTCATGGAACTTATTATGGCAGCAATGAAAAACTAACATTTGTCCTATATTCCTAAGTTCTGGTTCCTTTGAAAATTAATGTAGAAATGTTCCTGCCACCCAAGTCTTAAGCCTTAACAATAAGGACAACAGCACTTTTTCATTTCTTCTACTGCCTGTTGCCCCTCTGACCTTGCTGCCCACCAGCTCCTTGGAGCCTTCTCCTCTCTGGGTTTCCACGGAACCATTTCTGGTCCTCTTCCTTTTCTCTGTCTCCTTCATGGGTACCTTCTCGAATCATCTGAAAATGTTGGAGGAGCTCCTTAGGAGTCTAGTCCCAGGCTCTTTTCCTACAAGTACTCTTGCCTTCTATCTAGAAAAGCTAGCCAATTCCCAAAACTTATTTGTAGCTCAGAGGCCACTTTCTAGTTGCAAATTATCTACTCGGATATGCCAAAGCTTGCATTAATTTGAACATGTTCTTTCCTCTAAAATCTGCCTTCTAATTCCCTTTTCCCATTAACTGCACCTCAAGTCAACCAAATCAGTTAGTCACCTTACCAGGACCTGAAGATCATACTCTCTGATCTCCTACGTCCCTGGTAACTAGGTCCATTTGAGTATACCTGGAATGTTTCTGTGTTCCTGCCATAAACTTAGTTTAGGAACCCATTCTTTCTGAAAATGATTAAGAAATTGTCATTTTGCTTCTTCGTTTCCCTTCTTGTAATCTCCAAATCCATCCTCTGTTTCTCGCTGGCATATTTTTTTCTCAAAAAAAAAGGGGGGGGGGGGAGTCCAGCACTGTGGTATAGTGGGTAAAGCCACCGCCTGCAGTGCCGGCATCCCATGTGGGCGCCGGTTCGGGTCCTGGCTACTCCACTTCCTATTCAGTTCTCTGCTATGGCCTAGGAAGGTAGTAGAAGATGGTCCAAGCCCTTGGGCCCCTGCACCCACATGGGAGACCCGGAGGAGGCTCTTGGCTTTGGATCCGCGCAGCTCTGGCCATTGCAGCCAATTGGGGAGTGAACTGGAGGATGGAGGACCTCTCTCTCTGCACCGCTTCTCTTCTCTCTCTGTGTAACTCTGACTTTCAAGTAAATAAATCTTTAAAAATAAATAAATGCTTATTTATGTTCAATTACTGCCTGTACTTCTCAGCATAAACTCTGCCTTTTCTAAGACTCATGTCCTTCACTCTTAACACTCCCCTGCTAACAAACTCATGCTTCTGTATATACTATTTTTTGATCCCTTCGTGCTGTTACCCAGTTCTAATGGCTGACTGAGGACTCAGCCAATGCTGGTATGCTTCAGGGGTGTTTAAATAATAATCAGCTGGGGCCGGTGCTGTGGTACAGAGGGTTAAAGCCCTGGCCTGAAGCACCAGCATCCCATATGGGCGCTGGTTCTAGTCCCGGCTGCTCCTCTTAAAATCAAAAATAAATAATAATCAGCTTATTATTGAGAGATGTAGTTGTCATGTGTTTCCAGGAACTCAAGTACAGAATGGTGTATCAGAAAGTACAGTGAGCATGGCAGCTAGGCCTATTGTTAAAAATGCTCTGGTCCTGTTTTCTCATGTGTAGAGTGAAAGGGTTGAACCAGATGATCACAAGGCGTTGAGGATGACAATTCTAGTTTTCTCATTAAGAACACTAACATTTATTAGGGACTGACATCAAGCAGTAGACCTAACTTACAGCAGAGTCCAACACCTAGAGCACAATCAACACACATCATCTACACGCATGAAGCTTATTAACTGATGATAAAATTTAAATGTGATTGGAAGAGCCAATCGATTAGACATGAACGCAAAGCTGCAAACTGAAAACGGGCCACACTTAAAGGGATGCAAACATTTTTGCTGGTTTTTAGCCATCAAGGTTTCCCTAAAAATTAATTTTCTAAGTGAAGACTTTTTCCCAAGGCTACGGTATTTACTTTGTCTCTTTCTCTCCAGAGCCTCGTTGCTATTTGCTTTTAAAACCCAAGCAAGTGCCTTCTCCTGGTTACTTGGGCAGATGCTATAAATAAATTCGGCTAAAGTGTCTGATTGATAGTAAACAGGCTAAGGGAGATAATGAGTCTCGGGTAATTAGGGCTTCGCTGCATGCAACCCAATCCCTTAGCTCGCTCCCCAGGGGCGCACAATGGTCCCATGCAGCCTTCCTGGGAAGTGGCCGGGGCGCGCCGGCAACCACCCGCTGTAGGGTGGGTGCCTTCGTCTGTACAGAGGTGGGGATCTGCACAAACAGAGACCGTTTTGTGTTTGTGTTTTTGCGTGGCGCAGCCGAGAGAGCGACCAGCGGCCGGACCGCCCCGGGTCCCTCCACACCCCTCGGGAGTCCGCCCGGGGGCTCGAGCTTGGAACGGGGCTGAGACGGCAACCGCTGGAGTAACGGACTCTGCGGCCCGCGGCCCCGCAAGCCCGCGATGGGAGGCCGAGCTAGGCAGGTGCCTGGCCCTCCCAGAGCCCGTCCCAGCCCTGGCGCAGCAAGCGGACGAAGCAGTCCCTGAGGGCCCAACGGACCCGAGGACCTCCCTCCGCCCAAGGCTGGCCGGTGTCCCAGGACGCCAGCAAAGCGAGCCACAGAGCCCCGCTCCCTGCATCCCCATCCCTGAGCTCAACATCGCCCCGCTCTCACCAGGCTCCAACCTGTTCAACCTTCGGAGCCGCAAGAGAAATGGGCGCGGCCCGGAGACACCCCCACCACCCCACCCCGCCCTGGGGGAAGCAGCAACGACTCCAACTCCTCACCCGGCCCCGAAGCTAAGGGCAGCGAGCAGGGGGCTGCCGCTCACACACCTGTCTTGCGGGTTTGTTCCCGGTAGTGGCAGCTCAGATGTCCGAGTCGCTGCCACTGGGTCCCGCCGTCTCCCTAGACGCGATCCGGCCGGCGGCCGCCCAGCAGCGACTGCTAACTGCGCGTGCGCGTGCGGCGGCCGGCCGGCGCGGGAGGCGCCTGTGGCGCGCGCCGGTAGCGCGGAGCTCAACGGCCGCGGGGGCGCCGCCCGGCGAGCCCCGCGCCCAAGCGCACCCTCGGGGCCTGGCCGTGGCAGCGTGGGACTCCCCTCCCGGGGTAACCCAGAAGAATTTCTCTTCCTCACCCCGAGGTGCTCCTTGCGAGTCTACCCGTCGTTGCACAGTCACTGAAAGTTGCCTCAGTCATGTGTTTGAACGGCGTCCGGTCCATGGGTGCACCAAGATTAGACTGGCACTGGAGCATTTAATAGGGTGCTGTATGTTAAAAGGTGAGCAGCGCTGTGGTCAGCTTCCCGTTTCGTGTGTCTGTGAGAAATACATCAAATGTTGACCGGAGTTCATTTGACGTAAGGTATTGCTTTTCACTTGCCGACAAGAGTGTTAGAAAGACTTGCTACCATTTACCGTGCTGTGTGCTAAGAGTGTTAGGTTCATTGTCTTCACAACATTCCCGATAGTAACGTGCTTGAACGCATAACACTGGTGAGTTGTGGAAACAGGATGCGAATCAGGTCATTAAGAACCCGTTGTTGAAACCCGTATTCTAGGTTAAAAATGTAGCGTCCGTGTAGTGTTAAGTCACAAGCTCCATTGCTTTACGGGCGTTGGATGGTGCAGTTTTCTGTACTTAGATTTTATAGAAAATCTTGGAGTTTGGTGTAATCACGATTACCTTTTATTAGGAAGACACATTTAGTTGATGGGTCTGATTAGTTGGTAGGTCTAATTAGCTAGAGGGTCACGTTAGTTGGTGGGTCTAATACACCTGCTGAAGAATCTCCAGTTAAGGAAAGGGTGATGCTGCATGCACGATGTGGGATTACTGGTTGGAGGTCAGGACTGTTAAGCATTTTTTACATTGCTTCACTGTTAGGATTATTGCATTCATGGTTTCTAGACTTTTAATGCTCTCACCTCTTGGAGAGTACTTGGATAGTGTTTCATTTACTGTGGAGAGAGAGAGGGAGAGGATTTTATTTGAAGTATACTTTGTAACACCGTTATCCACTTAATTTCTTGTATCTTTCTATCTTTTATTATTCAGCATAATTCTGTGGCCCCTTGTAAATACTTTTAATGTGCTTGAGAAGGACTTTTAAGGATCCAAAGTTTATATGGAAGAAGCTGTAAATTAAAGATTTTAAAAAGAGAATTTAGGAGATTTAGTATTCTTGGTAACACAGTACTGAAAACTTTGAGGACATTTGACCATTTGCTAGATTCACAACTTCCATAAATAAAGCCCTTATCTTCATAAAATCACCTGAGAGACACACAGAGAGAAAGAGATGTCTTTCATCTCTGGTTCACTCCTCAAATGCCTATAATAGCCAGGGTTAGCCAAATCCAAAACCCAGAACTCTATCTGGGTCTCCCACATGGGTAGCAGGCATCCAAGTACTCTAGCCTATTGCCTCTACAGTGTGCATCAGTAGGAAGCTGAAATTGGAAGCAGAGCCAGGACTTGAACAAGGCGCTCTGATATGGGGTGCAGGCATTCCATGAAACGTATGAATGGCTGCCCCAAATGACCACCCTGATGGTTAATTTAGGTGTCTCCTTCACTTGGTTAAGGAATATTTAAAAACCGCAATAAATTATTTTGGGTGTGTCCATGAAGATGTTTCCAAATGAGATTAACATGTGACTCTGAGCTGACCAGGTGGGAAGACCCATCTTCAATGTGGTCCCGCACGATCCGACAGCTGGGGGTCTGGAGGGAATAAATCCAGAAGATGTGTTTCTGTGAGCTGGCACACGCTCGGCTCCTTCCTTGGATATCAGTTGCTGGCCTTTGGCCTGCAGGACTTAGACCAGTGGCCTCCTTGCAGTCCTCGGGCTTTTGACCTGAGCTAAGAGTTACACCCTCAGCTTCCCTGATTCTGAGGCCTTCAACTTCTGACTGAGCCATGCTACTGGTACCCCAGGGTCTCCAGCCCATAGAGGACCTGTCGTGGGACTTCTTAGTTGTCACAGTTGTGTGAGCCAGTTACCCTCATGAAGACCTCTTGCTGTGTCTGTATGCTTATCTCATCAATTCTGTCTCTCCACAGAACGCTAGCTAAAAGAGTGCTGCTTCCAGTAGGACAATACTCCGTCCCATCAACTAGTGTGAACATTCCCCACTTTTAAGGTTTTTATAGCTTTCTGATTATCCTGGTCACTCCAATCTTGGAGGCTAGCCTAGCTCATGCAGTTCTTAATGTGTGGAGTGAAGACACAAAATCTATGCTCTTTCTACAATACTTTGCCACTTCAGAAATAGCAGGATGCAGGACATGCATCCAATTGTCTGGTTCAAAGAGCTCTGTGGAATGAAATTTTAACCCAGATGCAAGATGTGGACTCAAAGCCTAGACAATTCAAAAAAAGTGTTTTCTTGGTTAATAGAGTTGGAAATATAATTTTTAAAAGATGGTCCAAGAAATAGAGAAATAGAAGCAGATACTTTATTTTTTGCTTGATTGGTTTGAATTTTTCAGAAAAATGAGTATATTTATATTTTGGCAAAAAATGTATCGGGATTGGATTAAGATGGTGGAGTAGGGAGGGAGCTTACTGCTCTAGTCTAGGAGAAGACAGTTTTAAAAAAGTGGAGAGAGTGCAGTCCCAGGGAAGAGTTAGGGAGGAAACAGCAGAGGAAACTCCATGAAAATTAGAGGGACACTGTGAACCTACATGGAGGGTGTGGATGGGCACAACTCAGGATCCCAGCAGCTGAGAGCCTCCGCACCAGCTTTGGAGAGTGAGGTGAGACCAGACTGCAACAGCCCAAACCACTGTGATAGAGCTGCAGGCAAAGCCTGGAGAGAATCCGGCTTGGAGCTCTGTGGAGGACAGTGTACCTGCCAAACTAAAGGAGAAAAAAAGGGGGGAGATGCACGTTTCTCTCTCCCCGATCACCCTGCGTTACTTATTTCCTGAGATTGTTTCCTTGATGTTTTGACAAGAATAAGAAACAATATATATCATGTTTAGTAATAGTCATGTTGTTTGACTCTGATTTTAACCAGATGCTTCTCCTTCAAGTATATTGTGGGTAGAATTATCCCATCTTGCATTTTTATCCTGTACCTCAAGAAGAAACCCAAGAAACACTACCTGATCTCAGGACTTACAAAGCTATATACACTTTAATTACCAAAATTAGTATGGTATTGGCATCAAAATAGATATACATATCAACGGAACCAATCAGTTTCCAGAGAGACTTACATGCTTATGGACAACTGATTTTCAACAAAGGTACAAGTGATAGAAAAAGTATAGTCTTTTCAACAAATAGTGGTAGTGCAACTGGATATTCTCATGTAATGCAAAATGATAAATAATTCATCCCATGCCTCACATCATACACAAAAATACTCAAAATGGATTACAACCCAAAATATAAACTTATAGAAGCAAACAGCATAAAAATGTTTTTCAATTTGGCATCATGCTGTGTACTGAATTGTATCTCCTTCTGAATTTATGTATTGAAGCCCTAACCCCTCATGTTGCTGTATTGGAGATAAGCCTTTAAGGAGGTAATTGAGGTCAAATGACATCATAAAGATAGAACCCTGATCCCAGGAGAATTGGTGCTCTTACAAACAGAGAAAAAGATGACCAGAGTGTTTGCTCTCTTCCATGGGAAGGCAGAGGGAGTGGCAATTTGCAAGAGAAGAGATCCCTTGCTAGACATTGACCATGCTGTGAGGAAATAAATTTCAGTTATTGAAGTCACTCAGTCCCTAGTATTATGCTGTGGTAGCTGCCACCTCCAGAGATCAATTTCAAGAGGGGTGATTATCCTATTTGTTCTCTCCTTGGTCCCTACTGCTGGTGGATGTTCAAGGAATGTGACGTGGTGCAAGATCAGAGTAGAGTGCCCACCTGCACTCAATTGTGTCCTCAAAGAAATGCAAGGGGATATCATGGTCATTAAAAAAAAAGAGATTTAATTGGGCTAAGTGTTTGGTCTGGTGGTTGGGATGCCAGATAAACTATCCTTGTTCCATAGTACCTGGGTCCAATACCTAGTTCCAGCTTCCTGCCAACACAAAACCTTGAGAGATGGTAAGTGACAGTTGAAGTAGTTAGGTTCCTATCACCCATGTGGGAAACCTGGATTGAGTTTTTACCTCCTGGATCTGGAATCTAGAGAGTGAGCCAGGGGGTGGGAACTCTGCCCATCATTATCTCTCTATCTCCTGAATATTTTTAAAAAATATTTAAAGATTGCTGAAATTTAAACCTTGACTATGAAAATACCAACAACCAAGTGTAGATAACTGAAGACCAGCCAGTGATCCAAAAAAGAACCAAGGAATTTGCCCAGAAAATTTGAGTAGTGCAACAGACAATGAGATGTAAAGTGTGAAAAAAGAATTAACAAACCTGAAGAGAGACAACAGGCTTTCTACTGATGTGGCAGCAGCTCTTTCTGCTTCCTCGCCTCTCCCTCACTGCACAGCTATGACGTGACAATGAGGCCTCAATGACTAGTTAACAGCAGAGGAAGCAGCATAACCTGGTATATGTGGATGGTCCAGCACAGTATATTTGCACCAGTCAGAAGTGGACAATCAATACATTACAACTCCATCCAGAGAAGTCCATAAAAGACAGTCGTGAAGGGAGATCCTTCCAGTGGGCATAATTTCAGGGCAGGACATCTGTCTACTCATGTGAAAAGTAACATAGCCTGAATATAGATATGCACTACTATATGAACTAACAGAATGACAGATCAAGCAGATAAAAAAAATGGCATACTGATGAGAAGGCAAGCTGTAGGAGTTTTCTGGATGAATCTCTTGGAATGAGTACAGAGTATGAAAATATTTATGTCTCATAATCTCTGTAGCAGACATCCCCTACAGAGGAGACTCTCAAAATCCACATGGATAATATGCACATCTTTCTCTTTTCCTGGACATGTGATGTATGTTCAAAGGTCCCACCTATGAAGCAGTCATGGTGGCAGGTGTTGAAGCCATGCATAGATTCAGTAAGATGGATTTTTTGCCTCACAAAGGTGATCACTGTAATGGGCATTCCAACCTGCCAACAGCAAAGGTCAATAATGAACTCCTGCCGTGGCATCATCTTCTAGGGGGCTTCAGGCAGACATCTAGTGGTGTCTTGATGATCTGGAAGCCTTGCATCATGAGGAAGCTGTAATTTGTCCTCACAAGGTCTTGTATGCATTCTGCTTGTGGATTTGCCTGTTCCTTTTGTGCTGGTGCCACATCATTTGTGAACGTACAGAATGTCCCATCCA